ATATTCCATTTGTGTTACCAAGTGATACTTATCCTCTGAGAAAATAAACACAGATTTTGGCCTGAGTAGTGAATCACTAGACATAGTAAAAATATTCTTGTTCTGTTTAGTTCTCACAGGCAATAAATAGTAATCTAAGGAAAATCAGGAGGTATTTTCGGTGTGTGAAAGAGAATTTTTCTAAAGAACTTTTGCTGCAGTGATGAACTTAGAATTGGCATCATGATATTCTCTCTGCTCTCCAAGATAATCCTTTTTGGAATGACTGATTCTCTTTCACGCAGGGTTCATAGAAGCTACTTGATAGTGAGGGTGGGATGAGTCCAGTCTCCCCTAAACTTGCCTTGTGTGAAGTGCAGATTTTTCATTACTGGTTTTGGATTTATGTCATTATTTCAGAAATATATGCTTATTATCTTTTTTTTCTGTCTTCCTATTTTTCCATGCTTCACCCCACCCCATTTCAGGTCCTGAACCTATTTCTGGCTTTATTATTGAGTTCATTTAGCTCAGACAACCTAACAGCAATTGAGGAAGACACAGATGCAAACAACCTCCAGATTGCAGTAGCCAGGATTAAAAGAGGAATAAATTACGTGAAACAAACCTTACGTGAGTTTATTCTAAAAGCCTTTTCCAAAAAGCCAAAGATTACCAAGGACATAAAGCAAACAGAGAACCAAAATGGCAAAAAGGAAACCTCCAATTCTAACCGTACCCTTGCAGAGATGAGCAAAGATCTCAATTTTCATAAAGAAAAAGATAAAGTCAGTGTTTTTGGAAGCAGTATGGACAAATACCTCATGGAAGAAAGTGACTGTCAATCGTATATTCATAACCCCAGCCTCACAGTGACGGTACCAATTGCACCTGGCGAGTCAGATTTGGAAAATATGAATACTGAAGAACTGAGCAGTGACTCAGATAGTGAATACAGCAAAGTGGTAAGATTACTTTATGCATGTGGTGTTTCATATTATTAATAAGATTAAAATAAATAAAAATACAAGGTTTGCTGTGATAAATTCCAGGTGTGTGTATGAGAGTGAGAGTGAGAGAGAGAGAGACAGGGAAAGAGAGAGAGAGAGAGAACACAACCACTAAATTGTCCATTAGGTAAGGTTTTACTTAGTGATAATTAGTAGTTGACATAATCATCGTCTTTTATCATACTTTGGTTATTTTTTACTCCTTTCAGTCCATTTGTGTTATCAATTATAATGTCATCTCCAGTTTCCCTCTACAGTGTCTGCTGGAGCCCATTGTCCTCTTTGTCATCATTTTCTTCACCCTCATTACTTCTTACCTGAAACATTTCAACTGAAGCTCCATCTGGTCCCTCTGCATTCATTTTCTACTTTTTCTAATTGGTTGTATATGTAGCCTTCATAATGTGGCATAATCCAGCTCTGAGCAACCTCGTGTTCGCTGCTACACCTTACATCTTTAGCAGACCAATTTCTGCCTGGATCACAAACACTTTCTAACTGTTCAGTTGTACTTAGAATTTCCTTCTCTGGTCAAAATCCCAAGTACATATTTAAAGGTAGAACTCTCTCTTCCTTATCTATAAAGTCACTATTGCTGTTATATGGGGCCGTCAAGTCAGAACTGACTTCCAGCAGGTTTTCAGAGGCAGCACATCACACAGGAGGAGACTGCCCATCTTTCTCCTGTGAAGCAGCTGGAACTTAAATGATAAAACTTATTGACGATTACATTAGTTAACACGTTAAATGCTTAGAACAGTATGCAAAGTAACTATTACAGTCTTCCTATTTTCTCCCCAAACATATGATCTCTCTGGTTTTAAATATTAAAGAACTTAGATTCCTTTTCTGGATTTATTACTCATCATTTTATTTAATTTTTTAAGAAATTATTGTGTGTGTGAAAACATACTGCTAACCCATTAATACCAGGAACACCTTGAAAAAATTTTGTAACCCCTTTTTCTACCATTACAAAATAATGTATATTCCATGTGACTTAAAGATGAACTAAACTGTATTTTTATTAATGTTGAAAATAATAACTATGAGTTTTTAATAAGTACTTTATGACTTCTCTTTGAAGTTCCAAAAGACTTTTTCATTAATTTATTTTCCATTCTTGAAAGCATATATTAAAACATATTTTCCATATGTTTTTCAAATATCCTATTGATAATCCTGTATTAAATCCTGTACTCCATGAATCTATGATATTTTCTGGAATATCACTTTCTAAACAACATGCCTCCAGAAATTCTATGAACTTTGATAAATGTTGATTGTTGCAGAGGGGCTTCAGACCTTTTGTCCACTGGGTTGTTATGAGTTGTGTTTGATCCAAAGACAATCAACAACATCAATTACTAAATATAGAATAATAACATGCAATATAGAATTTACAGTATTCTTAAGATATAGTACACACACACACACACATAGCTGCAAGAAGCTGCACTGAAGATACATGGTTCAAATCCACCAGCTGCTCCACAGGAGAAGGATGGCAAATATCCTCATGTGCTATTAACTGCCTTTGAAAACCTACTGGAGAGTCAGTATTACTATATATAATATTGTTGTTGTTGTTATGTGCCGTCGAGTCATTTCTGACTCATAGCAACCCTATGCACACAACAGCCCTAAACCCTGCTCTATCCTGCGCCAACCACACCGCCTCTGACACACCCATCCTGATTACCCCAGTCACCGAATCAATCCATCTCATAGAGGGTTTTCCCCTCCTGCGCTGTCCCTCCACCCTCCCAAACATGACGTCCCTCTCCAAGG